TTCTCTGAGCTCACTGAAAATCAGTTTTTAAGGGGCGGGGCCTGCGAGCATAATTTGTGACATCACAAATAGCTTGGAAGTCCATCCTGGTCCAATTTGTAACTTATACAAATGTGACATAGAAACTTGAAGCCACCAGTGCACACACACTGAGACTGGACTTTACATTGTGTCCAGCAGGAAAAGTCAGTACTGTTGTCTAAACCTAACCAAATTGTGACTGTTTCACAAACCATGAGGCTACTAAGGTCGTTAATACTCTCTCATGGTCGCATATGAATGTCATTTTGGGAGTCATTGGCAAACAACTAATTCAGTCATTTAGGTTTGAGGATGTGTTGGGCAAAATCACATTTCTCCTTGATGGTCAAAACATGCCCAGAGGCTTTTTGCATAATCATAACTTGTCTGCCTAACTTATGTACATGGTATAATGAGTTGTGTGAATTTGTTTCACATTCACAGCTCATATGCTCGTCTTTTTCAAAGTGACAAATGGAGAAATGTAACCGCAAACTCTGACTTCTTTTCCCCAAATGATTTTCTGTAACCATAAATCTGTTCTGCATGTTCGTAAATGTTTGTCATTATACACATTAATATAATTCAAATGAAAGCTGGTGATTGAAGCATAAATAGCTAATTACAGCAAACTATATTTGCAGGATTGGAGGAGCAGTACCAATAGTGTTCTCGTACTTTGCGGAGGTGTTGGCCCGGGAGAAGAGAGGAGAGCATCTGAGCTGGCTGTGCATGTTCTGGATGATCGGAGGAATTTACGCCTCAGCCATGGCCTGGGCTATAATCCCACACTATGGTGAGTGACAGCTCTGACCTAATGGACCAGTCATAACAATGCCACATTGATGTGAGCGCCAAACAGCACTTTTGAGTCATTAATAACTGCTTTTCTCAAATGGCCTTAAATTTTGGACGCTGGATCAAATTTTTTAAAAATAGTTTCACAAATTGATTTACAGTAAAACGAGAATAAAACAGATAACAGAAAGATAACAATGTTACAAAGTAGATAAAAATCATATCAGCTATAATGAGACAACTGACCCTTCATAAGCCCCGCCTCTTTTCTCTCTGCTCAGCTAGCTAACCTTAGATGTGACAAGCCTAGCACATAGTATATCTAAATACAGGTAAGGAGAACGTTCACCGCAGTTCTGACTTGGCAGGACTTATGAACGGTCAATTAAAACAATTACAACCGAAAGAAAACTATGAGTTAAAAATTAGTTTGTGTTTAAAAGAGGGAACTGACATGACATTTGTGTTGGTGGGGGTGTGTTGTTTCAGCAACTCATGTTTAAGCAGATTAATGTATTTAAAGGCTTAACAAACGTTTACATCATTTTACAACTCTTGAAAGTTATCACATCAGCCATTATTTGATCTGTTGTTGTGATGATAGTGAGGTAAACAGCAGCAAATGCTGTGGTGGAGTTTTCTTAAAACTGAGAAAGTAACCCTGATGATGCCAAAAAATAAATAAAATAGCTGTTTGCTGCTATATTAATATTTAAAATCTCATATATAACCTTCAAAAACTGTGGAGTGCCCCTTTAATATCGGCAATGCAAGAGATAATAGATACAGTACATGGGCCATGTGCGAGAAATGATGGATGAGATATATACTATACACAGAAACAGATACAGATAGTGTACTGAAACAGAAACTGTAGGAGCAAAATGACTCAAGGTACATCTGCTTTCAGCTCCACTGATCCAGCCTCCAAACTGCAGACGTTTCACTACTGTCACGAATCACTCGCACCACTAGTTTAAACATAACTGCAAATGGAGATGGCAATAAAGTTTGAGTCTGCGGTATGGTTCTACTCTTGATGATCCTCCCTGCTATAGTGACGCATATACATCACAACATGCTAGATAACATGAAGGGAACATTGCAAATAATTCCCTAATACTGGGGCTTAATTTAGAAATCAAGATCCTCCTGGGTGCACACAAACACAAAGCAGGTGGCAGTGTAGGTGGAGACAATAGCTGCAGCAGAAAAGGCAACAAAGCATATGTCAGCCTACACAGTAAATATGCGCATGAAGGCCTTTGAAATTGGCCACAAAATCAGTATACTAAGATACACAGGGGTGTGGCAGACAAGCTGTCAGCTGACACAGCAAAGAACGAAATGTTCAGCCAGAACTATGTCGCTTTAAATTTTCAGCCACTTTTTACCATCACCGAAACCTCACAGGAACATAAGGTATACTACATAATCACAATCATTTCATGCAATTTTATGTGACAGTGCCGGAGGTAGAAAAAAATATATATGGGGAGGAAAAAATAAATGTTGGCTGGTATAACAAATCTCATAACATATGGTGAGGGAGAGCTGGAGGATAACAGAGAAGGGAGGAGGTGTGTGTCAGAGGATAAGAACAAAATGAGCGAAATGAAATCAATCTGGTGCGGAGGGGTGTGGACGAGGAAAAGAGGAACAGAGAAAGAGATTAGGAGGACAAGGGGGAAGAGAGGTTGAGAGTGCGCTTGATTTGTGGCCCATGTCAGGGATAATCGAAAGGTGAAGGGATACAGCAGAGGGCTGAAGGAAGGCGGCGAGAGAAAACAAAGAGAAAGGGGACAGAGTAAGAAAGTATTAAAGGAATGGAAGGGTGTCTTTGTTTGCCATTTTCAGGGCCATGTTGATCAGATATAATGAAGTTTGCTCTTGGACCCTGGCCATCAGGACGCTGTCTGTGAGTGTGTGACTCTATAATGCGTGAGCCACAGCTTGATTAAGTACCTCGGCCAAGTGGTGTTCTTATCTAGAATAAAGTCACAAGACCAATACAAACTTCACTACAACATGTAAAGAAAACTAGTTGGTGAAGTGTACACACAGTCTGGCGTAAAGGGAACAGCACATACAGTGCAGGGAAGAACGTGTCGTCAAAGACAGAATCTGTTGCCATGGCTTCCCCTGAGAGGATAGTAAAAATATAAAAGGTTTGATAACATTGCCACTCCTTTAAAATTGAGTTGTCCTGCTTGAGTTGGCGACACCCGTAACGAAATCTGTTCAAAGATTCCAAAAATGTCTTGTTTTGTAGATGCATTTTTAATGAATAATCATTGTCAGTGGTAACTAAGGCTGCAACCTGAACATTGATTATTCGAATCATCATTTGAGGCACTTTTTTCTTTTTTGCTGCGTCATTGTACACAGAGCAACGCAGAATAACAGCATCACAGGTTGTAGACTTTTACAAATTGAGTCAAACCTCAAAATTAACTAACTGATGGAAACAGAGAGGGGTGATGGAAACGGAGGGCAGTGTGATGCAGAACAGTGTGATCTGTTTCTGTGTGCTGTTAGCCGAAGTCAGCTGAACTCCTTTTCAACCAGACGCTGGTACAACATCCTGTAGTTCTGTCCACTCTGCATGCTATCAGCAGCCCGGCAGGAGAGACACTCTGTGGATTTTATACCTGAACGATGATGCTTTCACTGGCTCGATCCCCAGCAACTAACGTTAGCTCGGATCCGAACTAACATATCGAAACAAAGTCACACAATAACACAATCAAACTAACCGATTGCGGCAGTGATGGACCAATGTTCTGTGAGATAAAATGAAAATTTTTATCAAAAGAGTCTGGTAGCTTTGAAGAGAGCATGGATATAACAGCTTCAGTTCCCAGTCAGAAAGGGCTGTCTGAAGCGGTGAAAATATTCTGAATATAGCACACACTTAAACTTAAACAGACCTCACTGTCAACAGTTTATTATTTGGCAGAACATATAGTTCCAGTGGAAATTCTCCCAAATGTTTTGTCACACCAAACAGTATTTTTTCAATTTATTATGTTCTTTTTCTGTTTTTGTCCTCAATAATTCCTGGATAAAAACCAAAAAAATAAGTTATTGTTTTATGAGTAAAAAGATTCTGTGTACAGGCTCATTAACAGGAATTTGTGTATTGTGCAATAAAAGTAGGTTCGGGGCGGCTCAGAGGTAGAACGGGTTAGCCAACTAATTGAAAGCTCAGCAGGCGAGATACTGAACCCCAAACTGCTCCTGAAGGCTCTGCCATTGGTGTGTGAGTGTGTGTGAATGAGAATCAGGCTAGTCACTTTCTGATGAGCGACTAGCACTTTGCATGGCAGCCTCTGCCACCATTGTGAATCGGTGAATGTGACATATTCTGTAAAACGCTTTGAGTGGTCGGAAGACTAGTGGGGCGATAAATGGTACCATCCAAGTACGAAAAGATACCATCTTAAAGGTTCTCTGTCTGTTGCCACAAACTTTATCATGTGAGTGAGTGTGAGAGTGCCGGCTGAGGATCATAATTGAGGTCAATTGATTAGACGCCAGTGTTTTAACAAATTTTTTTCAGAGATGCAGTGGTGTGTGGGTAATAGGTTCTGCCGCAGTGCACTTTGCATTGACTGGTGGACAAAGGCCAGATAACTGTGTGCATACGTGTGTGTGTGTGTCATTTTTAAGGTGTTAAGAATGTGATAGAGTAAAAGAACTAGTACACTTTAGGAAAAGAAAACCATACAGCCATTTATAGGTGGCGTGTGTGTCGCCGTGTATTATGTATGTGTGGGTTTGTACACACACCTATGCTTTAAAATTTGAGTCACAGCATTGAACGATGGCCAAGGGCAGTGTGTATGTTGTGTGTGAGAGTGTGTGCTCTGTATGTGTGGTTGTGAGCCATGCTCACTTACTGTAGAGTAGGAACATAAATCTCGCTGAGTATCTGAATCAGTCAGCCATCCCCTCCAGTCCATTAAAGCTATAATCCCCCTAATGAGGTTTGTACTGGTACAGGCAGGCCCACAGGCCACACACATACACACACAGACACACAGACACACACACCCTGTTCTGTGTCCATGCTAACATACTTTCTTGTTGCTGATTCTCTGATACAGACTTGGCTGTATGAATGAAATTGAGACTGGGTGGCTCCATCACGTGTTGTGTTACACGTGATGGAGTGTTGATATCTTAGATATCACTTTCGGAGAAATTACAATCAAACTTGTAGGCTTTTCTGACTTTATAATGGGACTCAATAGACAATTAATGTCATTAGTAACACAGCCATGGACACAAAATGATTTATTATAATTTAGTGTGTAAATATTACACTTAAAATTTAGAAACACAAATAACATGTCAAACAGTAAATAAAGTGTGCTAATTAGCAAATATGGACACATTTCAGACACAGTTTGTCATTCTCTTCCCTTCACTGGATACAGACACGTGCACATTTTTAAACCGCTGTAACTCTTATTATTTGAACGCAGTGTACTCATATTGCATCAGTGTCTGCTTCCTTTCACAGTGTAAAAGTTTCATAACAGTTTATATGCTTCCAATGTCATTCCTCCCTTCAGAAAGACACCCAGTCACTAGTTGACACAGCACTTTTTAATAATCTCACATACACATACAGTAGCTCTCAGTTGTGAGCACCGAAACTGCTACTAATACAAATTTGTGATTCTTGCATTACTTCTGCGCTATATTATGCTTATTCTACTGTATGTTCTTGTCAGCAAACATGCACATTTTTTTCGAAAACATGAGAAACCAAATGTAGGTCATGTCCTTGGGAGGACCTGGTGGCTCCATCTTAACTGCAACAAACTAGCCTCACGGGAACTGAACTAATGAGGCATTCAGGCACTCCTTACTAATTTGTAAAGAAAAAAATCACCAGGAGACTGGCCTAAAGTTTCAGCAAAATGCATATACCAGTGCTTAACTGGGATAATGATTCTGAGTTTATAATACAAGTTCTAAGGTTTAACCACCACAGCTTTCATTTCTCTGTAATACACAGTGTTCCAAAACAGTCCAAGACTGTAACTGTGATTGATTTTTGTCCTCCTAGGAGTTTGCAAAACTGTAGAAAATGTCCATTAAAACTTAAATTCTGTTACATTAGAAGCGCTGTCCATTTTGTAATCTTATAAAATCAGTCATTGGGAGGTAGAAATCCCAAATGATATTTCCTGACTTTACAAGTTGACAAGGATTGATTGAACAATGTGTTAGACAAAGGGGCACAATGAATTATGGATTTTTTGGATAGAACATTTTCTCCCTTCACAAATTATACTCAATATGTGGATTTCTGTGGATCTGAACCCTGAACACATATCTCTGTGTCTCTGTGTGGCTCTCTCCATGGTGCTGAAAAGTGTCAATGATGGTGAAACATTCTAACTAAAGCTTAACCCACTGCTTCCTGTAGCAACTTCACATAGCACACTAGCAACCACTTGGAGATGCCCTAACAGCAGAGCAACCACATAGCAGAAACTTAGTGACACCCTGTAGTACATCAGCCCCTCAGCAACCACATAGGCTGTCCCAAACATGTAGCAACACCTCAGTATTAACCTAAACCTACTCAACCTACTCAGGCAGCAAGCACCCCTGCGTTTTTCTAATTTCTGTTGCGATTAATAAAAAGATTCAGGTGAGAAAAGGGTGAAACTGAGAACTACGATAGGAGAGAGATTAGATTAAGGACTACGTATATACAGATGGCAAAGACTGTGTCGTGACACTGGGGAAGTAGTTCACCTGCAGGTTAATGAATTTTACTTGCTTGTTGCAGAGAAGCATCATGTATGTTTGTCCATGAGTGTAGGAGACTGAACCATAAGACCTGCAGCACGTCCAACCTTGAATTTCTTTAATGTCTTTTCATGTTATTAGCATTGAGCTTTGGTTTACTGTTGTACTATATCATCTCTGACTTTAATTGTGTCTTTCTATGCGACTGCTCCTTTGTGCAGGCTGGAGTTTCAGCATGGGTTCAGCCTACCAGTTCCACAGCTGGAGAGTGTTTGTGGTTGTGTGTGCGCTGCCGTGTGTCTCTGCAGTGGTAGCTCTCACTTTTATGCCTGAGAGCCCCCGCTTCTACCTGGAGGTAAGAGAGAGGCACAGTATGTTGTGATACTGGCAGCACCATTATCACTCTTAATGACAATGATAATGACTGCTAAGGACATCAGAGAATACCAAAACCTTTGTAGAATAAAATGTTGATGCCAGTGGAGCTGTTGGCGTGGCATTCATTTTCTTTACGTAAGAAAATAAAAGTTCATAAATCATGGAGTGCATCTTTGCATTAATGCAGAGGTTTTCAGACTGTGAGGTGCCTCCCCAGGGGGGTGCAGGAGATCTAAAGGAGGGGGAGCATGGAAGGGAGAGACATGAGGCAAAAATGCTGTGTGAGGTGAAGGGGACAGGTGCATGAAAAAAAACAAGTGGAAGTTAGTCGCTGTAGTTTGGCTGCTGATTCGGCCACTCACCATCACAATCAGCAGTTGGAGCTACAGCAGTGGCTGTGATACACAGCTCATAGAGGCAATTAAGCTACTAAATAAGATACTTAATTAGGGTATTAATGTGCCTACATGTCACCATTTTGCATCAAAATGTGTATTGTTTCTCAGAGTCATAACTCAAATCTGATTCAGTAGTGTTTTAAACTTTCTTAGGATATCCTTATCTCCAGCATCCATAGGTTCGCTTACAAAACATACATGCTCCAGAACTTGCCTGAGAATCATCAAGTTTTCTTTAGTATCAAAGTCATCCAGCAATAGTTGTCTGTTCATCCATGACTACATTGCAAACAGGAGCTCTTAATAACTAATTCAGCGTACTTTTAATGGTGCCAATTTGCCAAATTGGCTAAATGTTGTAGTCCATAGCTAACTGACTGACTCCATTCGGGAACTGTAATTGAGGGCTAGTAGATGGGGGGTGTCTGAGGGGTGTCAGACCTTGAAAACTCCTGCATGAATGTAATCTGTAAGTCATGCGCATATATGGATTTTGCAATTACTGTAAATATGCATTAGTCAAATGTGCTCTGAAGCCTGAGTAATAATGAGAGTATAAAAAAAGCCAGTATGGTGGACTAGCTCCAGTTACTCTAGGTTGATGTGTATTCATACGTACGTTAATATATTTAACTGTCCCTCAGATGGGTAAACACGACGAGGCCTGGATGGTGCTCAAACAAATCCATGACACCAACATGCGTGCCCGAGGAGAGCCAGAGAGAGTCTTCACTGTGAGTACACTCTGGCCTCTACACTTGCATCCTTCCCACACTGCTGCAGTGCCATCAGCAGGTGACAGATCAGTGTCTCCCCCTGCAGGTGAACAGGATAAAAATCCCCAAACAGCTGGACGAGTTGGTGGAGATGCAGAATGAGTCAGCCAACCCTGTGCTCAAGGTCCTCTTCAAGATCAAGGCTGAGCTCAGAGGAGTATGACTCTTTTTTTATGTCCTGGTTTGTTTTATACTGAATGGTTATGATGTTAAGATTTAAATTGAGTAACAATTGTTTTCTTTTTTATTATAGATCTGGTTGACTTTTATGAAATGCTTCAACTACCCAGTGAAAGACAACACTATAAAACTGGCTACAGTCTGGTTTACTCTGTCTTTTGGGTAAGAGATTTAATGCACGCAGGTTTTGCACTACTTCTACGCCTCTCTATATTATTATTCAATGCTTCCATCACGGTAGATGCCCTCGATGATACTTAGCTGAGTCACCACTACTTTCCAGCTTAATAACAGTTTCAATGAAGTCCTTAACACTAAGGCAGATGCTCTTTCACTTATATCCTCTTGATGAATGTCGACAGGTTAGATTGGAAATAGAAAATCTATTTGAGAGTCGGTGTCATTTGGCTTTTTTTCTGTGATGGCTGCTTTAATTTAAAGTTTTAACCCTGGGGACAATCTTTTACAATTAAAAAGAGCCAAACGAAGGCTGTAGGGTGTGTAATGTGTCATGTTTTCCCCCCTCAATGTGTCTTTTATTGTCTTTATTTCTATGATGCTTTTATTTCTTATTTCTTGTCTGTTGTTTTTCGACTTCTTTGCTCTCACTGCTTCTTGTTCCAACACAGAATCAGTCACTAGTTGGTAGTGCTGCAATAGACCTTCAACCTTTTCAAATTCAGAGAGTGATTACTATTTCATGAATATGTTGCTCAAAACCACTTCAGGCACATAAGATATTGCAACGATTGCAGTGCATGAAAACAGTTGAATTCGGAGGAAGAAACAGCAGCAAACACCACAGACTTTTGGACTTTTTCCCACCACAAACTATAGGTTTTACTGAAGTAATACTTGATTTGAGGGAGAACAAAAACAATGACTAATGATTAGGTAATTGGTCATTAATAGTTTTGTGCCACTCAGCAGCTGGTTCAGAGTTATCCAGGAACAAAGAAAGTGGTCAGATTGGCTTTTTGACAGATATTTATGAAGTAATCACTACCTGATGATTTATTAATATAGTATCTCCCAGTCAATACTAACCATCATTTACTATATATAGTCCTGTACTGACACACAGTAATCCTTAAATCATATATACTTAAAGGATTAGGGTAGTCTAACAGAGTGGAAATAACAAAAAGAACAAACAAATATGACAACAAGTCTAAGACGTGGTGCTGAATGCAAAGCGATCAGAACCAGAATCATCTGAACTAGAGCAGCCTATGTCAGTGACCACGTGTAACACACTTCACTACGGAAGCTGTTGCTGTGTCTAGGTTCTACGGGCTCTCTGTGTGGTTCCCGGATGTCATCAAGCACCTTCAGGCCGATGAGTACGCCTCCAGAGTGAAGATCCACAACAACGAACGCACTGAAGACTTCACCTTCAACTTCACCCTGGAGAACCAGATCCACAGAAACGGAGTCTTTCTAAATGACAGGTAATTCCAAAAAAAGAGGTCTGCGTGCACAAACTGATTTCTGTTCAGATACGAATATTTTCCAGCGACCCCAGTTTTTCTCAGACAAAAGGATTATTGATTATAAAAGGATAGAAATCATCTGCAGTGTTACACGTTGTGATGCAAACCCCTGAGCCTCCCTCTTGTCCCGTGGTGGGATAGCAGTACTATTTGTCATTCCCGCAAACAACACACCGCTGCCGGTAATATTAATCCTGCCTCCTTTATCTCCCACAACACCAGGAAATTAAAAGACTTATCTCTCTCTCTTTCCCTCTTTCTCTGTCTCTCTCACCCATACACACACATCTTTCCTGTTTCTCACTTACACAAAGGCCAGGGGGAAGACACATTGATACGTTGTTTTTGTTCTTTTCCATCCTTACTGGAGAACAGAATGTACGTTTATTAAGAGATAAAATCAAGACCAATAGCACGATACTGTGGAGAGCAGAATGCAACAGATTGTATTTGGTCACTAACAGACTGGTAAGCCCTGTCATATCACTGTGGACATGCTGGTCCTTCGTTCAGTGGCAGAAATACTTCTTACTGAAGTAAAAATATACAAGTATTATCAGGAAAATGTAGTTAGAGTATGCAGAATGGACCTTTTCAGCTTGTTACATTATACATTATAGTATTGTATCCTTGTTACTGATGTATTAACATGTAAGAAACGTTTTAAAGTCGCGGCTGGTCGATATTCATTCACTTTCTGATTGCTTTATATACTGTTTAATGGTATGTATCTATAATAATGCTATAGTGATGTCACTTGAGTCAGTGTCAGTTGGTGCTTGACTACAAGACTGAAAATGAAAAAAACTAATTTTGGTGGAGATGTAAAAAGCTAAGATTACCAGACCTTCATAAGCCCACTCCTCATCTCTGCTTGAGGCTAGCATAACAGACCCGAATCTCCAGTAACTGTTGCTGCTCACGTTGCTTTATGGCTAATGTAGGCGACCATAAATAAACTATAAGGATGCACCAATAAGGAAACTCTGCAGATACTGATGTTTAAAATAACAATATGGCTGACAGCCAATACCAATGGGTTTGTTGTTGTTATTTATTCGCCCTTTTGGGCCAGGGAAGCAAAATAAATCTACACAGATAAGCATCTGTGCCTTGTTGCAGCTTAGTTTATTTCTCTTTGTACTTGTGTCCAATTTGTGCCAGTGCTGGAAAACAGACGTGATTATTTCTCCAATATCTGAGTTGGAAATGACCAACACAAAATTTACGACCACTGTCATTTGTTCGGCTTAATCAATTTTTATCCTTTTTGTTTATAAAATAATATCAATTTAGCATTTCTTAATATAAAAATGGACATAATTCAGTATCAACACCTTTGTTGTCAGAAATATGTTTCCAATGCCTGTTATTCCTGCTTTACTAGTTCCATGTGTATTCATTTCCTCCTGTGCCACCTCCACCTCTTCTCTTCTTATCCCAGGTTTATTGGTATGAAGTTCAAGGCGGTCACATTTATCGACTCATCTTTCCTCAACTGCTACTTTGAAGATGTCTCCTCAGTTGGCTCTTTCTTCAAAAACTGCACCTTTGTAGACTCCTTCTTTTACAACACAGGTGAGTCTACACCTGAGAGACACACTCACATCCAGAGCATTCCTCTCTAGTTCCCCGTACTGAGGTATTTCCTTCAACCCTGGAGAATCCTATTATACTGCAGATGCCTTACACATAAGTCTCACTCAGTCTCTTTCTGACAGTTCATTTTGCGTCTAACGTCCGAGCTTCTCGGGAAGAAAGAATAGGGTTTGAGCATTTATGGCTTTGCTTTATGTCACTAAATTACTGCTTAACCTCTCTGCCCCAGCACAGATTGCCTTTCTGAACTCATGCGACTGTAGTTAACAAAGAAATTGAGCGAGGCTGGGCTGCAGGGCACTGAAAATGACAATTTCTAAACCACACAAACACTCCTGGAGTGATGCTTTTTATTCCATCTGATGTTTTAGATGCTTGCAAATATTCAAGACGGTGAGGTACATAAACACAATTTTCTGAGCAGCTTTTAACTTCTGACTTTCCCTCTTCACTTACTGATTAATTCATCACAGCATGTTCTGTTTTTGTTTTGATAAAGACATTGTGAACCAAGTCGTCTGAATCAGCATCCAAAACATGAAATCGTACCTTTAATAAATCCAGGCTATGTTATAAAAGTGCAAACCAATCATTTTGGGCCTGACAAAAACACAAGCAGGAAGAAACGGAAAGGAAGGGCAGGCATTTAAAATGTTCTGAGAGGAACTGGAGCTGAATCAGACCTTGTGGGAGCACAAGGTGGAAAAATAGTTCCCTCCAGCACTCAGGAAAGCGCTGAACATGGAAACAGTAAGGGCACATCAGGTTGCCGGTAATGCCCCATGGGAAATGAAGTCTCTTTGCCCCCAGCAATGGGTCCCTAGAGAGCAGAGGATAAAGAGAAACGAGGAGAGACAGAATGAGAAGGGAGGGAGGAGTGCGTCATGAGAGCAGAGGTGACAGAGGAAATGTTTTCTCCTTGCTGCAGCTGCTGATGTTTATTAATACACCGTTTCTATTTAGAGAGAGAGCCAACACACATTTAAAGTACGCTATAGTAACATATGTATATGGTGGAGAAGGGTTAGTCTTATCAATCAAATTACAAATGCAAAAGTACTTTTGCACGTCTTCATTAGCCAATAATTAACCAGAAAGCCTCATTAAGATTTAGCTTAGCTTAGCATTAAAACACTAGGAAACAGCTAGCATGGCTCTGCCCAAAGGTAACCATGATCTCTAAAGCTCACAACACATTAAATACTGTTTCTTTAATCTGTACAAAAAGAAAAGAGTGAAAACACCATGTTTTGGTTTCATGACCATTTCCTGGTCGACAGCGGTTACAGTACTTCCTAGAGTCTTCTTGTGACCATGACAGAAACTAGTTGTTTCCAATCTTCATGCCAAGCTAAGGTTACTGTCTCCTGGCTCCACTTTGTCACTCCCAAATATTACACTACTCCTTTAAGGATTTCTTTCGTTCTCTGTCACCTCTTTTTAAGGTCATAAAATGTAGCTTCCCAAAGACTTAGAACACTGTAGAAGGCTCTCTTTAAGACCTTTTATTGATTTACATTTAGAAAAGCTATGGCTTGGACTCAAGATGTTGTTTTTCTTTCTAAACATAATTAGGTAGAAGAAGTAAAAGGGAGCATTTCACAGTGCTGCGAGTGTTTGGGAAGCTCATTTGGGGCCCCTGGTGGCCTGGGGCAGTTGTCTCCTTTGTCTGGTTAGTTATCCAACCTATGGGTCTAAAACAATCAATGAAACTTAACCAGAAAAAAAAATTAATGAGACAGACACATCCATATTAATAGATCATTTACTTCCTGCAGCAATGATTTAGGAGTCCAGTTTTTGCTGTTTTATATCTAACTGAAGGTCTGAATGCATCATCTACACACAGTGTGAAAACTGTACTCTTGTCTTTCACATTTACAGATATTGACGACACCAAACTAACAAATTCAAGAGTGGTCAACAGCTCCTTCCACCACAACAAGACAGGCTGTCAGATGACATTTGACGACGATTACAGTGCCTACTGGGTCTATTTTGTAAACTTCCTTGGGACACTGGCTGTGCTGCCTGGAAACATCGTCTCTGCCCTCCTCATGGACAAAATAGGACGCCTTAGCATGTTAGGTATGACGTAACATTCTCTCTGGTCATTGAGGACTGCTATGAATAGCAGCCTTTTCTCCTGCAGAATGTTTTGATGTCTTTTGATGTGACCTGTGTATCTGTCTGTGGCCTCTGGTGATGTAATTGAGGCTATTTTGTGTCCGAGTTGTGAAAGATGTGTCGTGTTGTGTCCCGCAGGAGGCTCCATGGTGCTGTCAGGCATCAGCTGCTTCTTTCTTTGGTTCGGCACCAGTGAGTCTATGATGATCTTCATGCTCTGTCTCTACAACGGCCTCAGTATCTCTGCCTGGAACTCCCTGGATGTGGTCACCGCTGAGCTGTACCCAACAGACAGGAGGTGAGGGCTGCACTCACTACAAACAGAGCTCAGTTAGAGCGTTACTACTCCCTCAGCTAGGACCCTTACTGTTACTGTTACTTCATATATTCTTTATTGATATTTTTACACTCTTCCTACTTTGTACTTCAACTGCTGCACAACAATCATTTTCCCAACTTCCCTGTGGATAAATAAAGTTCTGTCCTAGCCCAGCTTATCTTTACCTTTAATGAAGAGAGAGTTTATTTTAAAAATATATAGCATTATTACATTTCCCTTCTCCCTTACATGAGCCTTCCTAAGTCCCACCCCTTTTGCTCTGTGCTCCAATAAAAGTTGAGCAAGCCTCAGTCAGAACCTCAGTCAACTTTCTCCTTGCATGTACTTAGATATGCTATGTGCTAGGCCACCTTACTACATAAACAATTTACCGTAATTTTTCAGAAACAAAAACAAGCTATCCAGAAATGAAATGACACATACATACATATCTGACTCTCTCCTCTGTGTCTTCCTCTTGTTTTCAGGGGCACAGGATTTGGCTTCTGTAACGCCATGTGTAAGCTGGCAGCGGTGCTGGGCAACCTGATCTTTGGCTCACTGGTTGGCATCACCAAGGCTATCCCCATCCTGCTGGCATCGTCCGTGTTGGTTGGCGGCGGGCTGGTGGGGCTCCGACTGCCAGACACACGTGCCAATGTCCTCATGTAAACCTCAACCCAGAACAGTATTTTGTTTACCAGGTATTTACTCAGTATACTGAATAACATGTGGATTTGTGGACAGATTTATTTAAATATCACAGAAACAAGCTGTTGGCTGTCATCCTTGTTGTATTTATTATTTGATAAATAATGTTGACTGTGTTCACAAACTCAAATACAGGAGAAGTGATTGTTATTTTTGTTATTTCTGAGTTAAATGCCTGGTAAATAATAAAGGATAATGAAATGCAGTTTAACTTAACAATAAGCTGTAAATATAAAGAGTTTGAAGACAGGAATTCAAGATAAAACAGCTGTTCAGACACAAGTTAGAATTATCAGTGGCGATAAAACTCTGCATATCAGCAGCTCATTATCTACCATGGGCTGTTTCACACATGCAACCCACAAATGCATGTGTCAAAGCTGCAAAAGGCTTGGAAATCTGACAACTGTTCCTTTCCAAATCCTGCTCAGTCTTGCTCAGATTAAAGGAATAGTTTGACATTTTGGGACATAAAGTTATCCCAAGCAGCCGTTAGCTTAGCTTAAAGACTGAAAAAAGCTAGCCTGAGTCTGAAAGTACAGTAACAAAATACACCAACCAACACCTCTGAAGCTCACTCGAGATAAAGACAGAGACAAAGGTTGCCCAGCAACAACAATAGCAACAGTAACAACTATACTAGTAGAAGTGTCTGATAATAGTAATAATGATGATAATGGTAAATGGACTGTTCTTATGCAGCGTCTTTCTAGTCTTCTGGCGACTCAAAGCGCTGTACACCACATGCCACGTTCACCCATACACACACATTCATATGATGATGACAAAGGCCATCACAAACGGAAAGTAATTCGTTCACACACATTCACACAGCGATGCACAGCATTAGGGGCAATTTGGGGTTCAGTACCTTGCTCAAGGACACTTTGACAAGCAGCAGGAAGAGTCGGTGATTGAACCGATCTCGATACATTGAGATGCATCGAGAATCGTTGTGCATATTTTGAAGTCAGTGAAGATTCACACCTCTAGAGGTGCTTGTAGGTGGATTTGGTTACCTTTGGACAAAGCCAGGCTAACTATGCTTATGCTAAGCTAAGATAACCGGCTGCTAGCTGTAGCTTCATATTTAGACATGAGAGTAGCATTGATCTTCTCATCGAACTCTCAGCAAGAAAGTATGTAGAGTTCAATAAAATGTCAAACTATTCCGTTAACTACAAACTATTTTGTAATTGTGTATGTGATTATGCTCGTTTATATGTGTATATTTAGTAATTTATTATTTCTTCTTTATTGCTTCACCAGTGTGCTTTTATGTTTTTAGGCCAGAAACTGAAGGTGCTTTTGACCTTTGTTTCTAATCAGTATTCCACTAATGGTTGATGATGTTCAAGCCTTTTGCTGCAACTTGCAAGAATGATAAGGCCATAGAAAAAAAATCAATATAGTAGTTTAGTCAAAACCGGCAACTTCAGCAGCTACATTTCTAAAGTGAAAAGAAGTTTACATTTTCTGCTTTTTACAGTAAGAGACTTTTGAGATTGGAAACCTTTTGTCTGAATGCTTCCTCTCTCCCTCTCTTGTGTCTGTGTTGTGTTCGTCTCGTGGCACCGAGCTCACTATGAAGGGCTTTGCTCTCCATTGCAATCTGATCTGTCAAGAAGAATTTATACTCTGCTGTTATAATCTGCTCTCCTCCTTGTCTTTTTTTTTTCTCTTGCTCTATCTGTCTCACCGTCTCGGTTTCCTCATAGTGTCTCTCATCCAGTCTTGTTCTCTTGCTCTGTTTATCTCTTCCTGCCTTGCTGCTGCTCCCTCCAAAACTCAAAGGCCTTTCTCAAATGTCGTGCCTCTCTCTCCATTGAGCCCGTCTCTCCTTCCAAACCTTGCTGGAAGCTTTGCTGCTCTGTCCTGCCTCTATTTTTATTTATGTTTTTTGTCTCTCATCTCTTGATACTGCACAGTGCATGTATGTGTGTATGTGTGTGTGTGTGTGAGTGAGTGGGTGTGTCCAGACAAACCCTTATAAGATAAAAAGACCATATCCAGAAAGCCAAGTTTTGTTTAGTTTTTTTCATGTTTTTTCTATACCGAGGAACCGGGTGTTTTGGAGGATTTGAACCACCTGATAAAGTGAAATTAAAAGCCATGTTTAAAGGATCAGTTCACCCAAATTCCCAAAAAAACCAACATATTTAATAGCCATGCAATTTAGATTTTTGTTGTGCTGAGATTTTAGCCATTAATATAATGGAGGTGAATGAACATGAGTTTATACTGCTCCAAACAGAAAAGAAAAACATTTGATTACTGTCTACGGGCTTTACAAAGGCACAGCAGTAAGCTAAATGTTAATGTTAACATGCTCACAATGGCCTTGCTAACATGCTGATGTTTAGCAGGTGTATTGTTTACTAGCTTCACCATCTTACTTTTTGTTAGCATGCTAACATTTGCATTAGTGCTAAACACAAAGTACAGCTGAGGCTGATGGGAATGTCATTAATTTTCCAGGTCATAAAGCAAAGTATTGGACAAATTAAGATTTTGAGTATAAAATTAAGGGATCACCAAATTACAGTTTGTCTTGAGCAAAACATGAATGTTTGCAACAAATTTCATGGCCATCCGTTGTTGAGATATTTCACTAAAACCCCAAATGTTGACCTAATGGGGTCACCAGATGAAAGGTCAGTGGATGACCAAAGTCAGTAGGATACATCCTTTAGGGACCATGGATGTCTGTACAATGTTTCATGGCAATCCATCCAACAGTTGTTGAGATTTCACTCCAACCAGCATTGCCATCCCTAGTACAATGCAGCAAGAAAGAAATTCACAGGCAATGTGCATTTCTAGAAACAGCATCCTTACTCTGGTTATTCAGAATCAGAATCAGAATC